TGAATTGACAAAACTGACAGGAGCTAATTGAAGCCAAAGGTGGTTAAATAAAACATCAGGAAAAGTAAGTATGTCTGCAAGCCACACTTGTCAGATTTTATTAACAAATACTCTACCATCTGCTTCACAAATAAGTTTTTGGTCCATCATTATTTAAACTTTCCAAGTTTCATTCTGAAGGAATTTATAGTCTACAAAAGAACAGAGCGATCCTAAACAACAACCGCACTGTAATTATCTTTTTACAGCTCTGACGGGTCCAAACTCAGCAACACGAGCAGCTCGGATCCAGAACCAGCTCTGCCGGATCTGGACCAGCACCTGGACCCTGATCTGGATCCATCCTGGCTGTTTTCATGACTAGCAGAATCACCCGCAGCTCCGAGGAGAAGCTGGAAAACAAAGAGCTCATCCTGCACAACCAGGCGTGTGCGCGGCACATGCACGCTGTCAGGCGCTCAGACTTTAAATTAGACGCTTTACGGTTCTGATGCGGTTCTGAGAGCTGCAGCTGCTGGTTCTGGTTCCAGCGGCTCGCCGCGGCTGCTGCACCGGCCCTCAGCGCTTTGTTCCCCCGGCTGAGGGCGGAGCGGCGGCCGCTTCCTTTGTCCTGCTCCCCGCGGAGTAAAACAACCGTGTGAACCCGCCAACACAAAGACCCGCAGCTCCCGTGCGCGGAGGCTGGAGGCGCGTGCACAGCCTCGTGTCAGGCTTGTAAATCACACCCACGCACGGCTGGGTCGCAAGTTCCAACCGGACTCACCCAGCGGCTCCGAACCGCCGAGGAGACACCCTCACTGGGACGCATGCAGCCGCAGCGGCCGCTTCTGGAGACTCACCGGCTCCTCCTGCGCGTCCACGGCCCGTCACAGGTCACAACGGGTCCGCATGGTGCCGAACCGGGGTCTGAGCTGGACCGTCACCGAGCGTTGCGGGTCCGCATGGATCCGAACCCGGGTCTGAGTGTGGACATGGAGCGCGTTCTGTGATTCAGGAGCTGCTTTGTTGACATCGGTTCGATGACGTCATGGTTTCCCTCATTCACAATAACAACCCCCCCACCCGTTCCTCACTCAGCACTACACACACACACACACACACACACACACACACACTCATATCACAGCAGAGTAAATAAAAAAGCTTGTTTTAAGTTTTTTTTTACAATTAAATCTCTGTAATATCAATAAAAGAATTAATATTAATGCATAACCAGAATTAGTGTACCCAAGTAAGAGTAGCACAACTTCAATATACTTTTAATCAAGTAAAAGTAAAAAATAAAAAATAGCTGTCCAAAAAAATACTCGAGTGAGAGTAAAAGCGTTACAAACTGCTTAATATTGAAAAATTACATCATCAGAAGGAACAAATCATAAAGTTATGTGGACATTTTTATATTTTAAGGATAAAATGAAATAACTCGTTTTGTAATATAAATCAGGCAAAAATATATATTTTTTTCCAAATCTTTAATATAAAACTTTAGCAGAAACTACAAGGTTTTTTTTTAGTTTGAAATAAATTTGTTCTTCATTCAGTGAAGTCGCTCGCAGTGTGTAGAGCAGAAATTTTACTCAAGTAAAAGAAACGTTTCTTCTCTTTTTCTTGTGTAATTTTTTTTTAAATTACACAAGTAAAAGTAAAATGTACAACAAATTAAAAATACTCCTAAAGGTTGTTTTTCCCCAAAAAGTTCCTTAAGTCAATCTAAATGAGTAAATATAATAAGTTACTACCCAACTTTGGCCATAACAGCTTAAAGCTAATGGAGCTTCTGTATCCAAACATATTAACAGAAAGTTTAGTGGAAGGAAGAATTGTAGACCAAGTGGTATAATCCCATCCCTCCAGGAAGACTTAACGAGTCAAAGTTTTAAAAATTTGTGCGTACTTGCCATTGAAACATTTCGATCGATCGCATGTATTTCCATCTTCCCTGACTGATCACTGCAACTCAACTGAATTTTGATCAAAACTCTTAGCTTCCTTCTAATTTAACTTCTTGTTTCACAACCTGCAAGATGAAATCATGTGTGCAGGGCCTTTTTGGGACCCTAAGTATATTTTAATTTGGGGCCCCCCATAGGAACAAGTCAACACCAAATGCTTCATTATTCCTAAGCTACTGTGTGCAACATTCCTGCTATCATTTGTAATTAGCTTAGCGTTATTAAGGCTATTGATTTAATTTAACTGGAGTAGAAAACTAAAAACAATTATTTAGATTAATTAGGAACAAATTAACCAATTATTTGTGTACCAACCATAAAAACAATAAGGAGAAAATTTTTTATTCAATGTTATTTTAAAAATTAATTTTCATCATTCCAGCTTGGTGCTCTTGGGGACCCCCTGGTGGTGTGCAGCCCGCTCTGCATGTGTGACATGCAAAATTTGATTCTGAAAGTTACATCTGATTGCAAATTGATTGTGGTTCCAGTATGAAGTGATTTAAGTGATTGTTCTATTAAAAATTAGGTTCATTTAATATAAATACAACCAGGCAGAACCTGCACTACTTCAACATATTTTGAAGTAGTGCATATTTTAGCGTTTTCTTGAACGCTAAAAAGTAGCGTTCAAGAAAGTAAAATTAAAGAAGTATTTCATAAAAAGACTAACTTGTCAGAACATTGAATTTAAAAGATGTCTTTAGACAGACAATTATATAAAAGGTATGTGCAAAGTGCAGTATTCTTAAGGGAAACATAAAATAGTTACAAAAAACAAAGTTAGACAAAAGAAACACTTATCCAAATCTGTTTTTCCTATATAAAATGCCTGAAACCAAAACTTAATGTAGTTGTGTTTTATTTATAATATTAGAACTGGGTAAAGTAGTACAACATAAACCATTTACTGCATAATTTTGATCTCAAAATAAAACATTAAAACAAAACTTGTGTACAAACCACTACCATCAGTTTGTTGCTGCATCTGGCGTTTTTATTAATACATGTTATTCATTTAGCGAACTTACTTCTGGTGGGTAAAGTATCCAGAAATTAGTAAGATTAGGGATACTTTATAAAAATATTACTTAAGTAAAAGTAAAAAAAAAAAAAGTGTATAAACCACTTACAGAACAAAAAGTTGTCCAAAAAGTTACTCGAGTAAATGTAACTAGTTACTCAGAACCGTCACATTTTGTAACTCCATCAGAACCAGCATCAAACTTTTCTCTGAAAAACTTCTCCAAGATCCCATGAAGAAGAACATTTTAACTCTTTCAGACTGAAAACTGAAACGTTTTTGTTTCTCCAGGAGAAAACTGGAGACAGAATCAATTTTAAAATGTTCCATAAGAAAGAGTGACACCTGCTGGTCTAAAACAGAATTACACAATGTAAATAAAGTTTGGTGTAAAATTTATTTTGTTACAGCAATTGTTCAACATTTTGTAAAGGAAAGGGTTTTTTCTCTCTCCTTTGCAGTCAGGATAAAAATAAAAATAAAAAGTATAAAAATACAAAAAGTAGATAATTTAAGAAGTTCAGTGGGGGAACTTTAGTAAAATCAGTGCTCACACTTCTCCAGCTTTTAGATCTGTAGTTCTTTAGCTGATCTGAGGATGATCAGTTCCTTCAGATCTAACTGTGAAGTTCATCTGTTCACCTCAGGATCAGTTTCGCTCTGGACCGGCTCCATTACAGACGGCTGGTGAGCTGCTGAAGAAACAGGTCCAGGGTGATGCAGGTTTGGACCCAATACGTTACATCTGAGCAGAATCAGAGGCAGGAACATGCTGGGTCTCAGCTGTAGGGCTGGTTCTGACTCTGGATCAGACTCAGCCTGCTCCTCAGGTCCCGGCAGACGGCTGACAGGCTGCTGTTGTCCTCCAGCAGCTTGTTGTGTTCCTGTATGAGGCGTGAAGAGGTCTGCTGCTCCTTCTGCTCCTGCTCCAGCTCCGCCATGAGCTCCTCTCTGAACAGAAACCAGCAGAACCGGGTTGGTTGGAAAAACTCTTACACTAGTGCAGCAGATAACGGTGTTTCAGCAAAATACTTTCACATGCAGATACAAGCAAAGGTCCTGTTTTTTTGAAAAGAAAACAATGTTAGCCACTAAAAAAATCAAGATGGCCGCCATGATTTTTCAAGATAGCCACTAAAATTCTGATAGAAACTACATTTATGCATTAAAATAAGCAACTAGATGATGTTAAATCATAGTCTACATATTTTGAAACATAAAAATCTTTTAGATTTTCTTGATCTTGTGTTTCCTTTTTCCATTTTCAAAATAGTCACCATGCTTGTAATGGAGAATAGCAGTAGTTTTCCACAGCTAACCAAAAAGTTAGCTTCACTAACCACTGCTTTGCTAAACAACAATCTTAGCTCTGGTAATGCTAAACCGCTAACCACATGAAAAATTATAAGAAGCTAAAGTTAAACTTATTAAAAAACTATCATAAGCTAATTCTAATCCACTAAGCACAGAAAACTATTAGCTAAAGCTAACACTAAACTACTAAATCCGTAAAAAATGAGCATAAGTTAAAGTTAAACATATTAAAAAACCAGCAGAAGCTAATGCTAAACCAATAAGCACATAAAACTATTAGCCGAAGCGAAAGCTAAACCCGTAAACACATAGAAAAATTAGCAGAAGCTATCGCTAACCATTAAGATGATCCTCAGTTTCTGATTTTGCAACATATTATTACTTTAAATTGTACGAGCAGGATAATGTGACAAAGTTAATCCAAATCATGAAATGGGGGAATATTTTAGGGCAATTATTGGTTTGAAAGACTGAAAACGGCAGCCATCTTGAAAAATGAGTTTACTGCAACAATGATAGTTCAGATGGACTTAATGACACTTTTCTAAACTTTAAAGTCGCAGGAAGATATAAAACGCTCCATTAGGTGGAGAGAAACATACTTCCTGTTCAGAAGGTGTGCGATCTCGGATTGGACTCTCAGATAATCCTGAGCCATTCGTATGTGCTGCTCAAACACCATCATGGACTCATGGGAGTTTGGACAAGGAGCCAAAGGCTGAAACAAGAGAGAAAAACACAACAAGAAGACGGTGAAGACCAAGAATCCAAGAAGAGTTTTGTTCGTTAATCAGACATTGATGCACCAACAAGTGGGACATTTTTCACTTTTGTTACATTTAAAACACAGTGAACAACAGTGAGAACACATGGAAAGCAATCTACAGTCCAGGACAACCCAGTGATGTGAACGTACCTGTAACTGATGGTCCAATTTCAGGTAGACGGAGGGAACCGGGCTTTCTGATCCCTCGGTACCTGAACACAAAGTAACATTAAGAAAGTCAGTAATAAGAAGCATAAAGTAAAAGTAACGTTAGTAACATTTAAAGTTGGATTTAAAAAGTAGCATCGATAGCTATGTAACAGTAAAAATAACTGTAAAAATAACAGTAACTAAAGATGCAAATTACGGCTAACAGTAATGTAACACACAGTAATAGTAAAGTTAACTAACATGACAATAAACGACTGTTATAGTTACAATAAAGTCACAAAGTTTATGTTAAAAAACTTAGTTCACTGATGATCCACCTGGAGGAGGAGCTCTACGTCAACCTCACCTGTCGGGCTAATGGTCATCCTCAGCTCTGATTGGCTGCAGGTGCTGACAGAGCTGCTGAAGTGTGCGGAGCTTTGACTCTCCAAACTGGAGGTTCTGGAGACAGCGGCCCACCGAGCCTGGAGGAAAGAATCAGAACATTAGCTGCGACTCGGTTACTAATATTCACAAATCACTGGCTAAACCCTGCACAGCTGAGCAACTGTGGCGTTTACATTAAATAAGAAATTAAACTAAAATCACATGTGAATAAGCTCGTTTGCGCCATAAAAATATGGATGTAAACAGTTACATGAGATTAAATTCATATTTTATTCATCATCTATCAGCCATCAGATAGATAGCATCTTATGCAGGAGTTAGAGCGACAAGCTGCTTATACATGTGCGGCGTTTTGAGGAAACTGTCGGCCATTTTACAGAACAGATACTGATTCAGCATTTTTGACTTTTTATGAACTGTGCGATGCTGCGATAAATCTGGTGGAGCTACTTGTTTTACCACAAACAAAAAACAAAAACAAACCATCATCCTCCAACTTCCTGTCGTCTTTTTTGTTGATTTCACAATCAATCGAGTTTATTTGCATAGTTCAGCAACAAAGCAGTTCAAAGAGCTTCAAACCATAAAAACGCACAAACAACTGAGAAAACCAGTAAACTTCACATTTTTCCATCTTTAGACATTAAAATGTTGATTAATGTTCCATTTATTATGCAACTCTAAACAGGTGGGCTGTTAGTCTAGATTTAAAGGCACTCAGTGTTTCGGCTATTCTGCAGTTTTCTGAAAGTTTGTTCCATATTTGTGGTGCAGTGAAGCTGGATGCTGGTTCTCCATGTTGGGTTCTTCCAGACCTGAGAGGTCTAAAACAAATCTTTAATATACTCTCTATTTTTATATCATTTTGGTCATGTGACGCATGTTGTGATGCGTACAGTTTTGCGAAATCCATCTAATTTGATACGGCTGAAAAATCTATCAAAAAATGTGAGATTTTTTTAAATTACCGTGGTTCCATTCAGCGAATTTATTTTCAATTCTAAAGTTGATGGAAACTGGGGGAAGTGTCTGTTTTTTTTTTATTTCCGTTACCTTTGGAGTTCTGGGCTGCAGCGGGATTCTGTTCTCAGTGTTCTGCAGCGTTTCCTCGCCGCCAGATGCAGATCTGTGTTTGGCGTCGTCGCTGCGATTGCTGTGAATCGTTCCATCGGCACACGAGCCTGAAGACGGGACACAAAACCCACAGAATCACCGATTAGTACCAGAAAACAGAACCAGATTCTGCTGAGCCTCACAAACACACAGAGACGATTTTCCTTCCTTCAGTTCATCCGTACAAACTTTAAACTTGAAATTTCAGCTCAGTTTTCTCAGAATAAAACTCTCCAGGTGGAGGTCGGATTGGGTTTCAGTCAGAACCAGAGACCCTGGCAGCTGGGTCTGCGGTCCGTTTCGATGAAACATCTGTTTTTAGTTTAATCTGAGAGAAAACATGAACATTTCTGCTCAAATATGTAAATATTTATAACCAAAAACAACTGAACATTCTTTGGACAAGCTGTCAGCGATTTAAAGGGCTAGCATCACATTTTTACCAGATTTATGGAGCCATTTTATACCACAGTTAAATAACTATTTTACCTTTCAGTTGTTTTAAAAATGACACATCAAACATAACTTAAAATAAATTTGACATCATAATGTAACACCTTGAAATTGGGCCTCTCTCTTTAAGAAGCTCCTGCTCCTTCTGCTCGTCATCACAATGCTCCTCCATGAAGCCGTTTACAACCATTCTTACGACTGAGAAGTAGTTTGTATAAAATATTTTGCAGATATGCTGTTAAATCAGGTGTTTGCTAATTGCTGCCGTTGCTAGTCTGCAGGAGCTGAATGGAAATCGCTTTGTGAGATGAAGCTTTTTAGGAGTTATAACAATCACCACAGGTGTGTTTTTAAAGAGGGAATAATATAATAAAATGATGTAAAAACGTTAAAATATTTATTTAAATCAACAACAAAAGCTACAAACATTTTATATGATTCAGTTCCTTCAAAAGTTCAGAAAGGAATTTATTCAGGAGAGCGTTTCCACTACCAACTGGATTCTGACTGGGCAGGCGGGGGTTAAACCTAAACGTCTAAACCAGGGGTGTCCAAAGTGCGGCCCGGGGGCCATTTGTGGCCCCTGTACTGATTTTGTGCAGCCCCAAACTGCAGTTAAAAAATTTCTACACATTTGGCCCGTAGATGCAGATGGAGACTTTTAATTTGAAATCAAGATAAAAATTGCTACAAACATAATTTTATTAAACAGGAAAATATAAAGTACAACACAAAGTATATGTCTTTTTATAAACAAGTTTTAACAAAAGGTAAAACAGGAATACTTTTACTGAAAAGCCAAGTTTTGCTTTTATTATTTCTTAAATTTAGCAAAAAATAGCAAACATTTTGAGACGAAGTGACCCAAATAAACTGAAAACTACATGCCTTTATCTTAATGCAGCAAACATGAAAATCTGCTACAGTGTATTAGGGCCATTGTAAGAAGAAAAAGGAAAGGAGTAAATTTTTACCAAAAAAAGAAATCAGGAAGACTTTTCCTTGAAATAATGAAATTTTTAGTTTAATAGAAATTTTCTACAGAAAAAAACTTGATTAATCACAAAATTTATGAGTTTTTGGCCGAAATTTACTTCTTTTCTTCTAATACCTGGTCATAAAAATCCCTTTAAAGTCTTGTATCTACGATAAATATCAGGCCACTTTTTCACTTGAAAAGCTTTAGTTGGGTTTTTTGGACTGCAACAACTTTTGACTCTACAAATTTTGTCCCACGTGACAAAAACTTTGGACACTTGGGGTCTAAAGTGACTCCAAACGTGGGCCGATAAGCAGCAACGTTTTTCCCACTCAGTAGCTCCGTCCTAATGATACCGTACTGCTGTTATGGACTTACAGCAGAACATTATACAGTGAAATCGTTACCTGTGCTCGTTGTGGATGAGGAGCCGCTTCTGTTGGATGATGAAGACTGGTGAGGAAGATTGAGGGGTTCATCAGAACCTGGGAAGTACTGGACCACACAAACATGTAATCAGAGGAGGGAAGTAACTGAGTAACTTCAGGGCAAAAATTTACTTTTAAGAGTATTTTTACTTCTGCTTGAGTAACTTTATTATGAAGTACCGCTACTCTTACTTGAGTAAAATCTCTGGATACTTGACTCACTGCGAGTAACTAAGTTTTGCTGCCTGGATGCTCTACCCAGCTCTGATTTAAAGGATGCTGCAGCTGCAGGAGAGCTGTGCAGATATTTACCTTCATCAGGCTGCTCATGGTGTCCCGGACCTCGCTCATAGACGGCCTTTGACTAGGCTCTTTGTCCCAGCAGCGGGTCATTAGCGTCTCGATGGGTTCAGGGAGATCCTTAATCAGAGGAGGACGAGTTCCTGCATCACAATGACCTGGCAGTTAGCTTCATACGTAGCAACATAGGCTACATTCATGGGACTCTAAACTCATATATGACCTATGACCCCGAACAAAATCCAGTCTGTGCCACTTCCTAATGAGAATTCAGACACGTATCTGATTTTTCTCTAAGCGTCTGCAGTCTTCAGCTTTTACGTCATTGATGTGAAATGTGTCATAATTCTGCACCAGAAAAGGCCGGATGTGGTAAATTAGGATGTAAACGATGGCTGAAAATTATGATAATAAATTTATGAATGAAATCTGTGTCACTCCATCCCATCATAATCCCACCGACTGAACATCTAAACAGATTTCTCTACAGAAGTTGCTGTCAACATTTAGTGAGTAAGAGAATCGGCTCTCAGCAAAAACAATGAAGTGAAATAAATCTGAATTGAGCATCAAGACGTGCTGCGTTGCCATGGTAACCCACCTCTGTGCACCGCCCACATGATGCAGAATGCGGATCCGCCGATCTCCTCGAAGGGCTTCCTGCGGGTGATGACCTCCCACAGGATGATGCTCCAGCTGAACACGTCACACTTCTCGCTGTAGTTACTCCCTGAAACAGCAGACAGGAGAGAAGCTGCAGCTCAGGGAACGACAGAGCGGCACCTCCTTCACAAATACGATCAAAACTTTGTCGAAAAAATAAACTTTCACAAGTGCAATGTTTCAGTTAAATAAGAGATGCAATTAAAACCACACATAAATACGCTTGCTCACAGGATAAGTCATTAAAAATCATGCCGTGCCGTCGTCCTCCAACAACTTCCTGCCGTCTTTTCCGGCAGTAGAAGCATCCAGCTGCTGATCACTTATGTGATGCAAAAAATAATAATTTCATTGCCGTTTTTTGCAAAATATTATGGAAGAGACATTTTTTGCAGAATTCTGACTTGATCTCAGAAGATTTATGTCAGAAATAGGAAGAAAAAAGTAAAAAATTTGAGATTATAGTCAGAATTATGAAGAAAAAAAAATCTGAATTCTGAGAAAAAGTCACAATTTTAAGAAAAAAGGAATTTTGAGAAAAACATCGCAAGTCTAAGAAAAAAAGGAATTTTGAGAAAAACGTCCAAGTCTAAGAAAAAAGGAATTTTGAGAAAAAGTCAGAATTCTGAGAAAAAAAGTTGGAATTCTGAAGAAATGTCGGAATCTTGAGAAAAATGTCAGAATCCTGAGGAAAAAGATGAAATTCTGAGATTAAAGTCTGAATTCTGAGAAAACAACATCTTTACAGTGGCGCTAATCCTCGTCCATAAAATATACTCATTTCAATATCTCAACTGAGTGCAAAAAAACTCAGTTTTCTTTGAAATTGGTGCGTTTCCATTAAGCGAATTGATTTTCATAATTTTACATTGTGCTGTTATCTGGAACCGCAGCAAACGGCAGAAACGCAGCCGAAGCGCCTCAGACCTTCAAACACCTCGGGAGCCATCCAGGCGGCGCTGCCCTTGTTGTTGGTCATGTAGGTCTGGATGTCGCACGCCGTTCCGAAGTCACAGATCTTCAGCACCGTTCCCCGAGCAACGAGCAGCAGACTGAAACAGAGAGACAGAAATTTAAAAAAACCCAACAAAAACCACAGGACCCTGATGCATCATGGGCCGCCTGTGCTTTTACTTTGGCGGTTTGAGGTCTCTGTGGATCAGCGCTTTGGGCTTCATGTTGTGCAGGTAGGCGACGCCGTCCGCACACTGCAGGCACCAGCTCATGGCGTGGGCGGCCGTGTAGTGAGGCAGCGGGTCGGCGCTGTGCAGGACTGCAACACAACACCACCACTAAACTTTTTCCTCAATGATAAACAAAACCAACTTTAACACCAGACAAAGATAACATACATTTTAAAAGTTATGATTTAACTACTGAGTGAAAAAAAAGTTTCCCAATCCAACCAAGTGTGGAAAAGTGACAGTAAATTTGGTTGATTTAAATGTGACAGAAGAGACAAAACTGGAATAAATCTGAAATCTATGCATCTTTTCCTGGCTTGTTGTGTGTTTCTCTAAAGAAAACGATAAATAAGTAGCCCTACTTTAACATGTTTTTACTCCAGTAAAAGTAAAAAGTAGCCAAGAAATTACTCAAGTACTGAGAAACTGATCCTTTAATATTTGAAAATTACATCAGCTGGACCAAAATATAAAGTTACTGGGACATTGTTGGTATTTTAAGGACAATAATTTACATAAGTAACAAAAAACAACAAAATCAGACAAAATCATTTTTTCCAAAATCAGTTTTGTTCAATAAAAGACTTATGAAACTTTGACAGAAACTGCAGTTTCTGTTAAAGTGTCTGGTGGAAATGTGGTTAAAACTTGTTTGTATGAATAAGACAATCAGATGAGACTCACGGTTGTATAAAGAGCCACATTCTGCGTACTCCATCACCAGACAAACCTGACGACACAAATGAAAAGATTAAAAAACAAACATAAACCACAGTGTAGCAATTTAATTCTCTATTTGTTCAACATTTTTGATGAAATATGGAAAGAAATAATCATTAAATGCTCAAATCTGACCTCTACATTATTTACTAAATGATGCTAATTTATCGTTATCTAAAGAAATGTGGCAGATTATGACTAAATGATTTAAGCTTTTAATTTACTCCAGAACTCTGAGCTCCTTTCATACTTATAAACAGAACCAGCAGAACCTCGTGGTAAATGTTTCAGTGATCTGTCGGGTTCTCACCGGGTCGTCACAGGAGCCGTACAGCTTCACAATGTTGGGATGACTGACCCGGGAAAGCTGCCGGAGCTGCACACATGCACACAAAAACAGGTCCAAATAAAAATAAAAACAATTCACAACAGCAGCAACAAAGACACAGAGATTCATTTGGGTTTTCTAAGGTTCTGTTCAGAAATAATAATTAAATCTATGAATCAAATGTATTAATATTGGAAATCAGTTCAGAGGAACACAGGCATTCACCTTTAAAAGCAGGTAAAAGAAAGAAAAATATTAAATACTGTCTTGTAGCATTTCCAATTTATGCTAGATTCATTTCTAATTGTGTAAAATAAAATTAATCTTTAAAAAATATAATAAAATTGTAGCATATGTCCTTTACAATGCAAGAATGTTTTTATTTTAAGATTTTATTAGAATAAAAATAAGTATATTGTTTTTATAACCTTCAGCTCTGGAACAAACAGTCCCTTCAGATAAATGAAAATATTTTCATTGTTTACAGTCGCCTTTGATTTACCAAAACAGTCTGACTAATAAACATTTGTTTCTTTTAAGCATTTCAACACTGGTTTCTTGTCATTTTCTCCCTGTTTTTTGTATGAATGTTGATAAGCAATCATTTACGGCTCAATAGGTTCTCTTTCACCCCAAAAAGTACATTTCCTACGTTAAACTCCGTAAACTGTATTTTAAATAATTGATATTTTCACTGAGGTTCAAGTAAGTTTTGCAGCCCTGTGTAGATTTTATTTACTAAAAATAAAGCAAAACGGGCTTTTTGGTTCGTAAAGGGATCCGAACTGGCTCCCCATCAGCGTTGGTTAAACTGGACTGAACCCGGATCTCACCCCGGTCAGTGTCGGTTCTGACCCATAAATCATGGATCCGTACCTCCACCAGGAAGGCGTTCCTCTCTGCGTCGCTCTCGATGGTCTTGATGGCCACATCTTTTCCTCTCCAAACAGCCTTGAAGACCACACCGAAGGTCCCTCTGCCCACAGCCTGCAGCCACACACACGGAACCTGGTGATGGACCCGCTGATCCGAACCGTTCACCGTTACGCAGGAACTTCACAAGCTCGGCCCTGAACCTCGCCTCGAACCTCTTCTCGACTGCAGAACCAGAACTTACCGCCTCGAACAGAATATCATCGTACTGGATGTCCTCAAACACCATGGTGCCCCCCTCCTCTGGGCCGAATCGGAACCAAGCCGCTGCTCCGCCGCAGATCCAAAGCACCAAAACAAACTATCTGCAGTTTGAGGAAGTGGAGTACTTTAGCAGCCTGGATGTTTAAAGTCCGGGTGTTCCTGAACGCCTCACTGACGCGGAAGAGAACAGTGCTCCAGGTCATCACGTTCATACATCACATACACACACGCTTATCTTCGCGTTACGTCTCTGTGATCTGAGTGGATTCATGGAATTTACGTGATTTAATTTAGTTTCCTAAACGCAGCTTTACTCAAAGACAAAAATGTCCACTAGGGGGCGACAACACATCAAAATTCCGTTTACTTTTACAATATCGCCATTGCGACACCTTCCTAAAATAATGGTCATTTTTTGCCAAAAGGGATTTTGACATAGTAATAATAATAATAATAATAACAACAACAACAACAACAACACCTCTTTCTTGCCAAAAGATTACTAAGGCAAAAATTAAATTAAAATAAATTAAAAATAAACTTTTGGTAAAAAATGACTTAAGCCATTATTTTAGGAAGTTGACAATTTGTATAAAGTCACAGTTCTTTATTATACAGATCGCTTATTAAGGTTCAAATCTTAAAATGTATGCATGTGCTTTCTGTTTAAATAAGCTGTTTCAGTTTTACAAAAAGAAAATAATCAACTTTTACAGAGAGAATTAATAGATTTTCCTCTATACATTGTTCTCTATTGTAAGAGATTAATACAATTTATAGCTTGTAACCTGATAATAAAAAATAACACTAAACAACAACCACTTCCTTTGTGATGTTAGTTTTTATTCTTATGCATAAAATACACAGAAAACCTGCTGATGTGTGCCTTTTTATTACTTTGGAATAAAGTTTTGGAAATAATTAACCGTTCAGTTGTATTCAGATTTATTGAAGTGTGCCAGTGTGTATCAAAAAACAAAGATGTGATTTATAACCCATCAAAAGTCAGCTGTGTTTTTTTCTCTTCCAGCTCAGGAACATTTTTATTCAACACTCAGTTTATTATGAAAGTGAGTCGTAGAGGAACAGGATACATTTTACTCATTTATACAGTTTAACATCAGAAATAAACAGAAATCAGGCCAAGAACAGGCACATTTATACAACACTGATTCTTTAAATTTACAATTTTAAAATACTTAATATATGTAAAACCATCATCTTGGAATATTCTGTTCATTATACTAACTGATTGTAAAACATAATTAAACTTGTTTGATAATTAATCAGACATAAATAGGCATTAATAATGGTTCTGTTATTGCACGTCCCTTTTAGAATCACGAACATAATGACGAAGTGCTTTAACAAACAATAAATATAACAGACACTGTGTTTTCACTGTCAGTTGGATTGGTTAGAGATACTTTATAGTTTTATTCTAAATATTTTAACGTATTGTTTGACGTGATGAAAGACTTAAAAGTGCAGTATGTAAGTTTTATATATATATATATTTATTTTTTCTTGACAGTCGCTATGGTGTGACAGTTTGATTTGAGACTGATAATCTGTGGGGGAAAAAAATCAAGCTTCTCTTTCTCCCAGTATAAACTAGAAACAACCAATCAGAGTCAGGAGGCGGGGCTTACCGCTGTCAATCACCATCTGCAGCCAGCACAACCTGTTGTAAATGCTGAGGCTAGTTAGCATAGCCACTGATGACTGTTTGCCGTAATAAGTTGTTTCTCCATGAGGAGTACATGAGGGTGATTGACAGCGCTAAGCTCCTCCTCCTGACTCCGATTGGTTGTTTTCGTTGGCAGTGGTGCATTTCTTCAGACCGCAGCAGCAGCTAAGGGAGGATCAGGAGGAGATTGATCTTTTCACAGATTATCTGTTTTATATTACACATCAGATTTAAGAAATATGTAAAAAAAAAAAAAAGAAAGAAAAAAAAAGAAAAAATTATATAAAAGTTACGTACTGCAGCTTTAACTGGTCTCTTGTAATATCAGATGTGACGGGAATGTTTCAGCTCTTTCTGGGTTCGTTTGAAGGTGAAATGTGAAGAAATTTAGTTTCATTAAAATGACCCAGAATGTTTTTTTGTTTTTGGTTTTGTTTTGCTTTAGAAACAAACAAAATTGAGTTTTTATTTTCTCCATTGAAATATTTTGCCTTTGAAGCAAAACCATTTCCTCAGGGTGAAACCATCGACACACCAGTGAGCTGGTTCTGATGAACACTATGTTCCAGTCCCAGTAAGATGCTGGTGGTTACCAACTGGTACTGGTCCAGTCCAGTCCCAGTAAGATGCTGGTGGTTACCCACTGGTACCGGTCGAGTCCCAGTAAGATGCTGGTGGTTACCCACTGGTACCGGTCCAGTCCCAGTAAGATGCTGGTGGTTACCAACTGGTTCGGTTCAAGTGAATCTGTCCTGGTTATGAACCGTTTCTCCTTCAGCTCCAGTCCCAACGAGTCAGTTACTAGTTGTTACAGTCAAGACACTGGTTCCACCTCTGTCCCAGTTAACCCAGTTACTACCTGTCCTGGTACTGGCTGAAGGTCGATGTCGGTCTTTGTCTTTTTTTGTCTTTGGCCGCTTTTTTCTCGAAGACTTCTCCGGATCGCAGCGCAGACACCAGGTCATCGAACTCTCCTCCTTCCTCCTTCTCGACTGACGTGGCCTTCCTCATCCTCTGCTCCCGCTCCTTCTTCTTCTGCAGGGACAAACACAAAGAGCCCGACTCCGGTGAGGTCATGAAGCTGCTGAAGAACCTCAGGCAGGATCTCCACTGACCTGAGCCTCCGCCAGGGCCCGTTTCTCCTCCTCCTCCTGCCGCCGGGCCATGTCCTCGTTATCCTGCCGGGCTTCAGAGTACGCCAACAGGAAAGTGTTGAAGACCCCAAAGAAGTCGTCCGGCTGCTGTTTGGACGAGTCCTCTCCAAAGTGCGTCAGCGCTTTTACAAACTTCAGCAGGAAAACAAGAATTCAAGAGTTAGTTGACAGCATGCTAACTTCCTGAAGTTCGGAGCTCTGCTGTTTTCAATGTTACATTTATTTAAAAACAGGTTGAAACTGCACTAAATTGCTGCACAGAGACACATGAAAAATATGAAATCAGAATAAAATAAAACTAAAACATCACAATAAGTTTTAAGACTGTGAGCAGATCTAATTTGAAAGGGTAACTTATTCCAAATATTAAGAGAAACAACAGAGAAAGCATAATCTCCTTTGCTCTTAAGTCGAGTCTGAGGGACATTTAATACAGATTATTTTATCTCAAAGTTCTGGAAACAATTGTTAGATAATAAATCACCAACTCACTTAAAGCTTTATAAGCTTTTAAAAGAATCTTAAAATCTATCCAACAGGAAGCCAGTGTAAATGATCCAATCATGATGTAATAAACACAAACAAAAATAAGATTAAACTTCAGAACTGAACTAACTTATCAAAAATAACTTTTGAACTAACTTTCTAGTTGTAATAAAGTCTGGATCACAAACTGTAAAAGGTGAAGGAAACTGAACTAATGCAACAACATGAGGAACCTGCAGGACAATATTTGACAATAACTCACCAGATCTTTGGCTTCTTGCAAAGAATCTTCTACGTCTGAGAAGTTGAGGGAAGCCATGGTGATGAACTGACTGACCACAGACACAAACTTATCCACTGGACGCTGGGAAGACTGTTTCTGCTGGTACTGCAGCTCCTGCACAAAACATGCATGTAAATATAAATCCTGCAAAGTTCAGCAGGTATTTGATGCTTCTGTTGAACTTACTGCTTCAATGCTCTTCAGACCAGAACGCAGAGTGTTTATTTCCTTCTCCAACTCCGTCATGCTGCAGACATTCAGGAAGGCGGTGATGTTAGTGATCACAGTTAAAGCAGGAACACAAACGTGGATCTGGGTGTGTTTTCCATTTACTTGACTTTAGCAGCTTCCGGGACGTTCTGCAGCTCTTTGCTGAAAGATGCGGCTTTAGGAAACGTTTTCTCCAGCACAGTGATCATGTAGTGCAGCAGAGTGATGTTTCTACAAACACAACAACATCAGTCAGACCTTCACATCATCAAGCTGCAGGTCTGCAGGGATCTGAAGGAGTTTGAAACCTGTCAATGCTGGACTTGGTGTCAACCATCTTGTTGAGGCTGGAAACTTTGAACCCATAGGCGTTTCCTCGTTGTCCTTTGTTCATGTAGTTCCCGAAAGCCAGAACCACCTGCAGGAGCTGACGGAGCGCCTGGCTCTGGATGACCTCAGAGGAGGCGAGCTTGAGAGCTGCAAGAAGAAAGAGGATGAGGAAGAGGACAGTGAGGAAGGAGCACTGACCTCTGAACTCCTACCTTCAATCTTAGGCTTGACTTCGGCCATTCGGTCATTGAACTTCTTCTTGAAGTGAAGAGCCTGGAGTCTCTGCTGGTAGTGGTCGATTCTGGTTGAGCAGAAGAAAAGATTTAGATCCAACTAGTTCCCACAAAATAAGTGACATTTTCTTTCACAATACTGAAGCCTTTGAGCAAGTTTGGTGAAAAAGATCTGATGGTAAGAATAAACCTGGACGGAGGGATGGATTAAAGTAATTCTTGTTCATTTTTATTAGACAGGTTGGGATTGGTTCACTTTTGAATCTGTCTTGTGTCATTTCTTAATCTTTGCAGGTTTATAGACCAGGAAACGCAGTGACAAGGAAGCTGGAGTAAATAAAATAAAATGCTAACTTCACACAGAAAAACCCCAGAAAGCTTAAAGACGAGCTATTATTCAAAATTCACATTTTGCACATTTTTGTACTTCCATTTGGGTCTCGACTTGTTCAGAAGAGAGCTTTAAAAAAACATCCAGATGTGTTTTGGCAATAAGTTATTGTTTTTTGGTGTTTGGAAATTGAGCATTTCAAGGTTGTTATGGACATTGTGTCGTTTCCTAGCAACCTCAACCAAACCCAGCCCATTACCAAGCAACCCAAGCTGAGCTCCAGCACATTGGGTCAGCTGGTTTACCACTATATACTCTGTACAATGGCTGCTGGAAAATACAAGTGTTTTCTTGTTGACTTACCATCCAGAAACCACTTTCTACATTTTTGTTTGGTTGTGCATGTGGCTCTACTTCTGCTTTTCAAAGCTGTATTGTCATGTGTTGAGTGTAAACGTTGCGTTGGGTGGGGTGGCTCATTTGGATTTAAAGTGACAAGACCCCCTAAAGCAGCTCATTCTGGCAGGAGCTTAAAACAGGCAGAACTGAACAGACTAAAGTTGTGTAAAAAATGTAATGACCATGTTTTATGTAGCCTACAGACTTATCCTAAGCTGTTTAAGGAAGCATAATATGTCACCTTTAACCTTCTTGAAGCTCTCAGTTTCCT